AGATTATTATTTTAACCAAATATGAAATTGGATAGGTTACCAATTTGGATGAACAAAGAGATACAAATGCTACAGATCAACTTAGATGGCTTGCTTATGGTCTAATTGATACTGTTAAAAAATATACTGGTTATATCGTTAATGGTTTTATATTTCATACCAAGGCACGTGAGAGATACTTGAAAACTCAAAACAGTGGTGTTGTTGTAACAACCAAAATGATAAGTTATGCAAGTACAAGAGATGCACAACCTATTGAGAGGGAAGCTAACTATTATGGAGTTTTAAAAAATATCATTTAGTTGAATTATATTGGTAGATTAAAAGTTATGTTATTTAAATGTGATTAGATTGATATAAATAGAGGTTGCAAGAAGGTTAAATTTGGTTTCACTCTTATAAATTTTTCACATCTAGCTCATAGTGAAACTAATTTGGTTCATGATCTTTTTATCTTGGCATCACAAGTTAAGAAAGTTTTTATGTTAAGGATGAAAAACATAATGGTTGGGTTCTTGTCAAGCATACAAAACTTGTAAATGTATTTGATATGAGTGATGAATCATCCTTATATAAAGAACAAGAGAATGAAGAAATCTATGTTGAATTTGATGACACATATAAGACTTCAAATTGGGTTAGAAGTGAAGTTGATAATGAAGAAATATAGGTCACATTAGAGATAAAAAATGAGCATGTAGAAGAAGGTCCCATAGATGAATATAATGATGAGGACATTTTTTAATTTTATGTAATAGTTTAAATTATTGTTAAGGTTTTGCAATATATGATATAGTTCACTATTATTTTGTTTTTGTGTTGCTCGCTTGAATTACTTAATTTTGTGTGATTATGTAATATATTAAATTGTACTTAGTACTTTATATGGTTTGCCACTATTAAGTTCTCTTTTATATTGTCTTAGTATATATTGTGTATTATTGGACTTAAGATGACAAAGCGTAGACGATTGAATATCACTAAGATAAATCGTGCCTGTAGTTCTCAATTACAAGCACAATCTGAAGAACAACATGTGCCTGTAGATCTAGAAGCTTCACAACATGAGCTTCCATAAGAATCTCAAGAACCAATTTTTTAATCTACAATAATGAAGATCAAGATGAACAAGTTGAACATAATTCAGGTATAGAAGTACTATATTCTTTAGTACAATTCTTTATGTATTATAATGTTATACAATTACTTTTTTTAATGAATTTAATTACTTTCTTTACATGCAATTTTTCTACGTAAAAAATGTTCGACATAAAAAATCTCGAGGTCCTACACGTATGGCTGATATTTGGAATTTGGAAGAAGAGAAGCATGTTGTTGTTAAGGTTAATGATGATACTATACTTATCAGTGATGAATCTTGCTCTTTAACTCGATTCATTGGCAGCATAGTGAGAATGCCTAGCTTTGTGCCAATTAATTATACAAATTGGCATAAAATGTCAGATGATAAAAAAGAAGAAATATGAAAAACATTAGAGGTATCAATACGATAATATTTTAGTTGCTAGCTAATGCCATGACAATAATCTTTTAGTTTCTAGTTAATAGTAGCAATTCTTATAATATATATTGACATTTTCTTTCCAATTACCTCTTTCAAATTGTAGTTGAAGTTTGAATTTCACAAATATGATTCTAATGAGCTCGTTGATGAAGAAATATTTCAAAAAATAAATCTTGGGCAGTAAAAAACATGGGTGCTAAGTAGAGGCAATGGAAAAGCAAATTGAAATCTAAATTTTATAATAAACAAAGATATAAGAGAAAATGGCTACAAAGATTGATGATTCTCCGGTAGACAAAAGTCAATTCCTATTTCTTGCTGTAGATTGGTTGACTAATAAAGCAAAGGTAAATGTTTACAATATATATGATTCACTTTATTTTAATACTATGATAATAATTATAAAGTTATTATAATATATCTTTTCTTATTCATTTATTTAAAAAAACAAAGTGAGATAAACAAAACAAATCGCTCAAAATTAGATAAGCCGTATTGCACAAGAATAAAATCATTCTCGAAGATCATTCAAACTTTGGTACATATATTAATTTTTCTTGTTGTACTCAGTTAAATAAATATGAAGTTTACTTTTTATATATGTGATTTTCTCATTACAATAATTAATGTGATACCTTTGTAGAAACAAGAAACTAATGAAATTCCACTATCACATGCTGATGTGTGTATTCTTTCTCATACACGTAAAGAAGAAGTGTTATAAATGACAAGACAACAGAAATTGTGGTATTTAATTTAGTTATTACTTGTTTTTACTTATGTTTAGTTTCTTTATACTAAAATATTTGTTTACAAATTTAGAAACTCATGAAACAAGGTTTGAGCGAAAATAGTGCTCAAAATTCTGAAGGGAGTTCATAGAAAGATGATGTTTATTCAAAAGTTAAAGGACCAAAGAGAAAATGGCATGTTCATTGCATGGGTATAATATCTACGTCATCTAAAAATATGGTCTTTCATCTTTTAAATTAGTTCAGCGTAAAAAAGAGGTATAAGAGTTGAAGGTTAAAATTAAAAACTTAAAAGAAACTTTAATTATTGTCTTATCGATACTTAAAAAATAATTTTCCAATAAAAATATAGATATCTTGAATACTGTTACTCACATGATGAATAGAGAGATATATATAACATCTATTTTAATTTATATATATGTAAATTGTCATTTTACTCATGAATCTTAAACTTCATTGAAAATTTTTTGAATTATTTTTAGGTTTCTGATGCTAATAGTGCTCCAAAAATCACACATGAAAACAATCATTCTTCAAATTCAAGTTATCAACCTAATCAAAATAAAAATGGTAAACTAGTCATCACATGATAAATATGTGCAAATGTTTTGCTTGATACTTTTTTCTTAGATAGAATGCCAAAATTAATTTTGAATCTAAGTTTTGAATCATGTAATTGTGTTCTTGAAACATTACCTATTGTCTTTGCCATAACCATTGAATTACACTATGATTTAAAACCCGTTCTTTTTCCTTTGAGAAAGCTTTTTTACCTTTTTTTTTTCTTTTAAAAAGGCTTCCTTATGATGTAAGCATGCTTTGTAGTTGTAAACTTGAATATTATAGTGAAAATATTTATTTAATGATAGTTCTGTTAACTGAAATAATTTTAGGTTGGTTTCATTAAGTTATTATTTAAAATTAAACTAAAAGAATGAGGAGATTATATATGCAAATTAGGTTATTTCTTGTTCATTCATGCATTACATTAATGAATAGGATGTTTATAAAATTATTTTTGCTGGTACATAAATGGATGATTACCTTTTGTATATATGAATGAATAAGATGTTTATAAAATTATTTCTACTGATATATGAATGGATGATTATCTTGTTACTTTTATATAAATAAGATAATTTACAAGAATTCTAATTGGATTTCTTTATGCTATACAGATGCTTGTTTGTAGATATCTATGATAGGATCATTTATTTTAGGAAGTTATTTATTTACTCTGAGCATTATGTTTGTAGGGGGATTTGGTTTTGTTTTGGATATTATACACTTTGTTGAAATAAGGTTGTTGTGTTTTGTGATATTTGATTGGTATATTAACTACTGTTAGTAAGTTGGGTTTATTGAGCTTGTTAGTTATATTATGTAGCTACACTTGTTAACTTTTTTAAGACTTGTGATATTTTGAATGAATTAAAATATTTTGATTTTGAAAAGGGCTTGTAATAGGTGCATGTATGTTTTTTCTTATTGAGGTGGTTTTACAATTGTTTGTTTATATACAAATTTTTTAAGATTATCTTGTTTAGAGTTCTATTGAAGTTCTAAGGTAATCAAAAGGCCTTTAGGTATCTGGTGATGCAAACTTATGATTGTATTTTTAAGGGTGAGGTGGTGTAACTCTTTATCTATATTTGTTTTATCGATGTTTGTTTTATTAGACTTGGTACAATGATTTTAGTTTTTTGTTTATACTAAGTTTGTGGATTATAAGTAATTTACTTGTAGTTTTAATGTTATTAAATATCTTTTACTTTATTGCATTTTTTTTTTGTTTATATGAAAACAAATCATATTATGATTATAAATATATTAATATTAATAATTAAAAATATAATTTTTTTAAAAATTTATCAACGTCTTAACATTTATACTGATGCACTTAATCATAATAGTCACCAATTGTCAATAAAATATGATAAAAAATTAAAATATATAAGTCTATCTGACAATCTCTAACCGTCAATATAAGTAAGAAAATTAAAGCATACAATTCTATACTAACAGTCTTTAACCATTGGTATAAGTAAGAAAATTAAAAAAATACAAGTCCATACTGACGGATGCTAAGCATCAGTATAGGTAAGAAAAATTATAAATCTATACTAACAAGCATTAACTGTCGGTATAGGTAAGAAAAATTAAAATATATAAGTCTATACTGACGGGCGCTAGTCGTTGGTATAGGTGAGAAAATTAAAACATACAAATCTATACTGACGGGCTTTAAGTGTCAGTATAGGTAAAAAAATTATAAGTTTATACTGACGAGGATTAACCATTGGTATAAGCAAGAAAAATTAAAACATACGAGTCTATACTGACAGGTGTTAATCATCGATAAAAGGTATAATAGTGAAAAATATAACATATGTTATACCAATAAATATACATTTACTAACAGTCTTGGACCGTAGGTATATTTTTGTGAACTATTTCAACATCTTAAAAACTCTCGGTATAGGTTTATACCAACAAAAGATATACTGATGGTTAAAAATTCATTGAAATATATATTTTAATCATCGGTGTATAGTTTATGATACTATATTGATGAATTTTGAGGTTTTACCAATTTTTTTTAAGGGTCACTATACGTAAGATTTATTGTACTGCACGTTGATTTTGCTTGAAGAAGTGGTTGGAGATATGGATCATTTCCAGGTTTCAATCCAGACAATCAGGGTTGGAACTGTACGTGGGAAAACAAACCGAGAATTTTCATTGAAATTGGCATGCCAAGGTGGGAATAGTATCTCAATAATCCAATTTGCAAGCTTTGGCAATCCCAATAGATCTTGCGGTTACCTCAAGATGGGGACTGTCCAAGCTACTCAAAGTCAAGCCGCAATGAAAAAGGTCGTTTAACATTCACAATCAAATATTCTTCTTACTTTCTAACTCAAAAACAGGAAACTTGTTCGGCAGTTCAACAAATCTTGGTTCTGATTGCTTTGAATCCCATTGTCTTGTATTGGAAGTCACCATGTCACAAGTTACAAATGGACTAACGGACAACAGCAATTTCGCCAAGTGGCTAATGGTTCAAGCTTATTGATAACAAAGAAATATCTATCGATGATAATGTGTAGAAGAAAAAAGGAAAACAAAGAATGATTATGCATTTCATATGGCAATTTCAATAAAACACAGCTTCATGATAGAACTTTCTCAGATACAATTTTTTTTTTCTTTCTTCTAGCAAATCTTCACCAATCAAAATTTGCTTATAACACTAACAGGGGACCTTGGAATAACCAGTTTCAACTAATGTTTCTAAAAGAGGAGAAAAGAAAGGAAACTTGAAGAACTAGAAATTCCAAGCACCAGTCGAAGGATAATAAGCTCCACCTGACCGGTCTCCAACACTCTCACCGCCAAAACAACACTCTGGGTAAGAATTCCTAGCCGCAGCCGTCACTTCCGCTTCTTCAGTAACTCTACGCGCGTGCCTGAAAGCCACTTCCTGGATTTGGGCAGGCGTCATCTCACTGGCGTCCGCTATATCCGGAGGATTGTCCGGAAAATTAAGCTTTCCCGAAGCCCCGCGCAGACAAAAAACTGCAGCGTCGTAAGCTCTGGCAGCTTCTTCTGCTGTCTTGTAAGAACCCAACCATATTCTGCCCCTGCTGTTCGGTTGACGTACTTCCGCTACCCATTTTCCCCACTTCCTCATCCGTACACCTTTGTAACGACCGTTACTGTTATTATTAAGGGCGTCATCCCTCTCCCTTCTCGGCTTCACCATTTTTCTCTTTAATTTTGTTTTCTATGTTGCAAGTGTTATTCCGAACTCTAAAGAAAAAGCAAAGGGCAGATTTGCAAAAGAGGGAAAATGGGAGACGTAAGAAGGGAAGGAGCGCGTGGACATTTGGCGAACTGTAACTTAATAATTAAGGAGGAAATGCCGGTGATGGGAAATGGGGACGCGACGTGGGAGTTTAACGACCTTTGGATTGGATGGGATCAGCACGTGGGAGGGATTCTATTACATGTGTGCGTGATGAATTGACAACGTGGATGATGTAGGGAATTTAGGCAAACGTTCTTTACGTCCATTTCTTCTTTCTTCTTTCTTCTTTTTGTCTTTTTTCTCAGACTCTTAGTCTCTTATCCCCTTACGTTATTCTAGACGGTCAAATTTGTTAGGTCCAATTTCCAAAGTAAAGAGGATGAAAATAAACTAGAGCCCCCGCAAACTCATACAGGAAGAATAATCCATACAAGCTTTTAAAGAAAAACATTGTACGAACTGTATGCCACATCAATTTATATTTTATTTTATTAATCTAATGCTACTTCATATTTTTTTTCAACTCTATTTGAGATTTTGATCCGTCGGTTTTGAATATATTTGCTAACCCTAATTGAAGGCATGACTTTTAATGAATAGGATGAGATATACTGACGCGGCATAATAATTTTATACAATTCTTTCTCGGCTTTTAGAACATCGTCACTTGTACATTATTTGTTGTAGTCAAATAAATTTGTGTTACGTTTGGTTTTATTATGCACAAATAGTACAAGTTGAAAGATCGAATTGATAAAATAAAATAATTTCAAATAATATTAAAAATATTACATAGTAAAAAAATTAAATTATTTATTTTTTGTGTAAATCTAACAAAAATCAAATAAATAGAACTAATTAATAAATCATCAAATTACAAGCACAAGGATATAAGTAATTTATATGAAAAACTTTCCTAAAATGAAAAGTAAAAATTACGAGTAGCAACAAATAATCTTTATTATCAAAATAATAAGAATACAAAGTTCTCTGTAGCTAAAACTAGAGGTATACAATTACAATATCTCAAGATTAAACAATTTTGGTAAAGAAACAATCTTGCAAGAAAAAATTAAAGAAGTCTTAATAAATTTATAGATTAATAAATACACACAAAATTAGTAGGTAAAAGGCTTAAAACCTGATCTCAACTATTCAGACTGAAGAATAATGAGTCATAAATACACTGATAAAATTTCAGTTTAATTGGATAACGGATTGACCTTGATCAAACTATTTGATCAGAACTGCACAAAACCCTTTTTCTCCCTTTTTTTCTCTATTTTGTCTTCACATTCTTGTTTCTTGTTTTAATCATATAAGTGTTTAAAACCCTATAACCAAGCATAAAAGGACTAAAAAGTCATTGGTGAATAGGCTTTAGTTTTATGCCACCTTTATATAGAGGAAACTAAGCCCAACAAATCTCTTTTTTTTTTTCAACTATATGGAGGGAATCACCATTCCGACGATCGAACGACAAACTTCAAACTTTTCGCTTAGTAGTGTCTTTGTTAACATATCAGAATCATTGTGATCGGTGTGAATCTTTTCTAGCTAAAACAAGTTATCATTGAGAGCATCTCTTAACCAATGGTACCTCACATCAATATGCTTTGATTTTGAATGCAAAGTAGAATTCTTACCAAGTTATATTACGCTTTGATTGTCACAAAATATTACATAGCATTGTTGCTTGAAACCGAGTTTCTTTATGAACTTTTTCATCCATAATAACTTCTTATATGCTTCAGTGGTTGCAACATACTCAACCTCTGCTGTAAATAGTGTAACGCATTTCTATAGTCTATTTGCTAATATACAACCCCATCTGAGAATGTAATTAAATAACCCAAAGTAGACTTTCGAGAATCAATATCTCCTGTCATATTTGAATCAATGTAGCCAACTAGCACTGGTTTTTCATTTCTAAAAGTGAGTCTCAAGTTGGAAATGCCTTATAGATATCTCATGATTTGCTTAATTGCATTCCAATGCCTTCTTCCTGGATTTAACAAAAAGAGACTAACAACACCAATTACATGGGCTATGTCTGGCTTGGTACACATTAATGTATACATCAAACTTCTTACTACTGAAACATACGAAACTCTTCTCATGTCTTCTTTCTCTTTAATTGTAGAAGAGCTCTAATTAATACTTAGCTTAAAATGTGTAATAATATGAGAGCTAATCACTTTAGCTTAATTCATATTGAACCTTTCAAGCACTCTTTTAATATAGTGCTTCTGTGACATATATAATTTCTTGGCTGCTCTGTCTCAATAAATTTGAATTTCAAGAATTTACTATGCTAGCCCCAAGTCCTTAATAGTAAAAGATCCACTCAATTGCTTCTTTAATTGATCAATTCTAGAAGTATTCTTACCAACAATAAATATGTCATCAACATAAAGTAATAATATGATAAAATCATCATTAGAGAATTTTTGCATAAACACACAATGGTCAAAGGTAGTTTTTCGGTAGCCTTGCTTACCCATAACTACCATAACTGACTCAAACTTCTTATACCGTTGTCTCGATACTTGCTTCAATCCATAAAGATTTTTCTTTAGCTTGCACATAAAATCTTTTTTTTCTTTTATTATAAAACCTTCTGGCTGGTCTATGTAAATCTCTTTGTTCAAGTCACCATAGAAAAAAGTAGTTTTGACATCTATCTGCTTAATCTCCAAATCAAGACTAGCTGTTAAACCCATAATCACATGAATAAATGACATCTAAACAACGGGAGAAAATATTTCATGAAAGTCAATACCTTTCTTTTGATTGAATCCCTTAACAACCAATCTAGCTTTGAAACATGGCTGTGAAGTGTGTTCTTCTTGTTTCACTCTATATACCTATTTGTTATTCAAAGCTCTTTTTCTCTTAGACAACTTTACCAATTTAAAAGTATTATTCTCATGCAAAGACTCTATCTTATCTACATGGCATCAACCCACTCTTTCTTGTGTTCATCTTCATGGCTTCTACATAACATTCAAGTTTTCTTTCATCAATTAGTAACACATATTCATCAATAGAATACCATGTGAAAGGTTGTTAATCTCTAGTAAACCTCATGAGTGAAACTTCTGGTAAAACCTCTTATTGAACCTCTGATACTAGTGACTATTTATGAGTGTCATCACCCACCTTAACCTGTGTAGAACTGGTATCAACATCACCTGTATTATATTGGTTATCCTCGACATTTTTAACCTAGAGGCATATATGTTAGAAAAACTAGATCCAAGTCAACCAAATCATCACTACATCATGGAATTAATGTATCAATCTTTTAAATATCTTGTATGGTCTAATCTTTAACAAAAATAACATCCCTACTTCTCATAAATTTTTTCTGCATCAGAACATAAAACTTATAGCAAAACTCATCTTTGCTATAACCAAGGAACACACATTGTTTACTCTTGACATCAAGCTTGGACCTCTCATCTTTAGGAATATAAATAAAAGTCTTACATCCAAAGGTGCGTAAATGATAATAAGACACATCCTTGCCAAATCAAACTCTATCTAGAACATCAAAATCTAGAAGAACGCATGTTAAGTGATTTAAAATATGTATAATTATATTCAAAGTCTCACCCCAAAAAGATTTTGATAATTATACTTGTGAAAGCAAACATCTCACTTTTTTCATTAACGTCATGTTTATCTTCTCAACTAACCTATTCAACTAAGGAGTTTAAGAGGTGACTTTTGATGTCTAATACCTTGCTGTCTGCAATACTCATCAAAAAATCCATTGTACTCATCCCAATTTCTAGTCCTTATACATTTTAATTTCAATCCTATTTATCTTTCAAATAAAGCATGAAATTGTTTAAATAAATCTAACACTTAGTCTTTTGATTTTAAGGTATAAGCCTATATCTTTCTTAAATGATCATCTATAAAAGTCATAAAATATATGAAATCATCAAGTATTTTTGTTTTCATAGGACCACAAACATTAAAATATACTAAATCAAATATACCTAGCTTTCTTGATGGAGAGGATGTCTTAAATGCAACTTTAGTTTATTTCCTTACCAAGCAATGATTACACTTATTCAAGGATGCATTCTTCACTCCAGAAAAAAAAATTTTCTTGGCCAAAACCTTTAAACCCTTATTGTTTATATGACTAAGTCGCTTGTACCAAAACTTAATTGTATCATCATTATCTACTACATTGATAATGGAATCAAATACCTTAGCCTACATTAAATACAATGAGGAGCGCTTTATACCCCTAGCTACAACCATAGAACCTTTAGTAAGCTTCCATTGACAATTACAAAAAGTGTGGCAAAAACCTTTATTATTAAGCTTTCTTGTAGAAATCAAATTCATGCAAATATCGAGAATATGTTTAACATTTTTCAAGATCAATGTAGTGCCATTATTGGTCTCCAAGAACAAATCTCTATACTAATGGCTTTAGTTGAGCCCCAATTACTTATTCTAACACTATCAAAATCACCAGATGTGTAATATACAAAGTGGTCTTTACAAAATATAGCATGAATTATGGCACCAGTATCAATCACCCAACTAGTCTCATGACATGTAAGATTAACAACATCATTATCATATACAACAAAGAAGTCATTTATGACAGTAACAACTTTATTAGCATCATTACCATCACTATTCTTCTTTTCCTTATCTTTGTCACTATTATTGTCTTTTTTGCAACTTTCGATAATATTTTCTTATATGCCCTTTCAGACCATTATAATGACACTCAACATTGGCAAATTTATTGGACTTACTCTTACTTCTATCTCTATTTTTTGAACCTTTACTTTTTTTTTTTATTTTGTGACTAAGATCTCAGATTGTGAAGAGGAACCATGTGACTTTCTTCTCATTTGTTTATTCAAAACACCATTCTTAGCCAAATCTATAGTAATAATACCATTTGGAGCTGAGTTAGATAACGTTGTTCTAAACGTCTCCTACAAGTCTGACAGTGTACCAAAGCCATAAACCATGTATCTCATCTTCAAACTTGATATTCATGCTAGTCAACTGATTAATAATACATTGATATGCATTCAAGTGATCTGTCATAGAAGTTCAATCTTGATATTT